ATTTAAATAAAATTATTACTCAAAAATTGTCATTTTGACATTTTAGAACTCTGTGACAGTGAGGTGACATCTAATACGGCACCTGTCAATACTATTACCGCAACAAAATATAAATTTATTTTTCTCATTAAAGACGAAAATGCAAAGTTGTAGTATGTTTTGCTGATAAAAATACTTATTTAGAGATGAAAAGGAAATGTCAAATTTATGATTTTCTCGATTAAAGCATTAAACTAACTAAATTTGCAAAAACCTTACCAATTAATCTCAAAATCTAAATGTTAATATTGCCCACTGTCTACGATCAAGGGGTAGTGCGATTTACGCCATCAGATCTAAAAAAGCCTATTTCAAAAACGGCCAATTTGTTACTTAAACTTGTACAATAGGCTAATAAAAATAATAAATGTAGGTAGTAAATAATAATAAATGCGCAATTTGTCGAATCTGAGGATCTTAGTTGTAATGTCTTCTGAATCCTAACGGTTTACAAACGTCAAAATTTGTGGGTTAGCTTTAGTCTTACTTTGAGACTTAGCTGATAGCGTATGCCTTTCTCTATGAGCGTAGTGTCGTGGATTCAAATAGGTCTGGTTTTCATCTAACAACAACACTCCACGTTATGAGCCATGTCACAGTGTCAGATATATTGGTTGTCCTCGGTCGTGGCCCACGTTGGGCGCTAGGATGCGGATTTGGCTCAGTTCCGCTAGCTCTTGATGGAAATGATCTATTTGCTTCTCCTCTGAACATCATGATTGGTCGTCAGGCGCCTGCTCGCTGGCGAAAGGGTTCCCAAGCATCTCATGTAATTCCCTCTTGACGTAAGACCTTGACGTCGTCAACAAGAGAAAATGAGATTTCAGATCCTTCGCTCAGATCCTTCGCCATCGTGAGTTTGAAATGCTCAGGTGGAAAGTTCACGAGGTATAATGCCCTAGTATATATAAATCACTATATCTTACACACTAAAGATTATGCACTGTTGGATGGACTGCCAATACAGAAACTTGTAGAAAACTTGATTTACAGCGTATAGCTGAGAGAGCGTTGAGTTTGGGTTTATGAATTTTTTATATAAAAATGATAACTCGAGTTGAGGTTTAAATATGTGCTTTATTTATACTATTATTTATACTTATTTGTACAGAAATGTAGCGGTTTCAAACGCGAATTCTTATACTTGTCGAGTACACACTCTGGCCAGGTAAATTGTCCTGATTAAATAACTGCAATTGACTAGGGTGCGTGTTCAATCGCATGCGGGGTGGAGTCCGGTTGGCGATGTATGCATTTCTGGCTGGTCTGCCTGTTTTGGTGAAGTTAGAGGTCTGAATATTAATATTGACCCGGAGGTCTTGCAGGAGGTTGATTTTGATCTTTTTCGCGGTTTTTTCGAAAGTTAGTCGAACATTTCTTCATCCTCGTCTCTCGTCGGCGACCTCAGCGGAAGGACGGATCGTTGTCATCGTTCGATGGAATGAAGAACTCTCGGCGTGATATTTCTGGTCCTGGCAGCTCGACGGTCGAATTTTGGAAACATTGGCGATTTTCTTGGCGATGTCGGATGCGTACAGCGCTTGCTTGACGACATCTATGTGGAGGTCTCTGGATGTTCATCGCATCGTCTGCGGAATTTTGCGCAAAATCTTCGAAACATCCGCCGTCCATTTACAAAAGTAAGCCTTCACTGACGCGACGTAGTGATCTCTGGCACGATGGGAGGCCTATCGCGTCTGTGGAGCTTTGCGTGGAGTCTTCGAAACATCCGCAATTTTTTCAAATGTTACGATGTTACGAATGCTATTGTAGATGAAATCGAGTCATGAATGCTAATTTTGAGCGGATTGACAAGCGTATTGGAAGCGGAGGCGATTTCGTAGTTATCTATGTGATAGCAATAATAAAGTGCTGCAATTACAAAGATATTAATTATTCGTTCCATAATTTTGTATTAATTGGAACATAAAATTATATAGAACTGGAAAAAATAACGTTTCCCACTGGAAATACTTTTCTCGTTCGTGAACTTGGCATGTCAATTGTTCACTCATACATGGTATTCATGGATATGGAAAATTTCTAAAACAAGCGTTATCAATTTTTTACTCCTTGTTGTTTATTAGCCCTGTATACAGTGTATACGTTCTTGGTTGCGGTTACTCGAAAGTTTAAACTTGCTCAACATAGAAACTTCCTTCGAAATAGGTTGTGGCAGCTAATTTCGTATCATCTCTATGATTAATGATCTTCCATCCTCTCAAAAATTCTCCAAATATAAAATCACATTTTACGGTCTTAACTTTAACGGGACTCCTTTATGTCAGAGCCGTAGACTTTTTCCTGTTTGTCCTTATGCGTTTTTATTTATAAAAATACACATAATCCAACTTGGGCGATTTTTCATTCTGATGGAGTTCTCAGAACAGGACGCGTGTAACTACACAAACATGATTTGCAATAACAAAAAACTTATACCTACATAATAAATTAAAATAATATTGGAATCGGGATAGAGCGCGCGATGATAAATTGATAGAAGCGGAAACTGTAAGTTGGGATGGAAAATTCTCATAAAAATTCAGCGACATCCTAGAACAGATTTGTTAAAATTTATGTTTCACATTTGTACTGGTCTGTTACCGGTTATTCATAAGTTATTGATCTCTGGATTATATTCTTCTTTTTACAGTATCGATTTTAGTCTAGCGTAAGATGGTTTTGACTTTTTCTTCATTTTATATGTTGGACTAATTTTAGAAACAACATGGTCATTGAAATTTTCAGGTTGATCGACCAAATAGAAATATTCGTACACTTATTATCAAAATTCCAAAATTAATTATAGGTAAACTTTGACACCTTGTTGATTGAAAAGAAGCGATATTTCATTAAAGCGTGTTTACCTCAATTACACTTTATTTTTTAACTTAGTATTTCCCTTTTAAAGACTTGATATTTAAGCAAAAATAATTTATTTGAACACTTCCCCGTGAACTAAAAGATAGTGACATTATTTTCATAAATTTGACCTATACTCTTTCTTCAATACACTATTTTTTTATCTACTTGCGTCATGTACACCTAAACTTCGGCTTGTATAGCTTTCTCTTGCTACAGGGTCAGCAACATTTTTTTTATTGCCAGCTATCATTAGTTACGATGACAACCTGCCCATCGGATGGATTTAGTTTTACAAGTTTGTGCCATTAACTTTATTTCTATACAATCTCATGTTTCATTTTCAGGCTCAGTTACCAAACATTCAACACCCCTTTTCTATGGTGCGTAAAAAATGTAGAGAAAAAAAAATAGAAATCTTGGCTCTTTTTATTAAAAATAAAACATGAATTTGTTTGTTATTCTTTTTCTCGTAAACGGTTCATTTTATCGACAATAAACAAGAATACCTTTTTTTTAATCTAAGGTCGAAGCTACCCAGATTTATTATTTTAAAGTCTTTATCATACAAGGTGTTAAAAATTTAGGCATTAATTTGTAAAGCTTATCCCGCCCATTGGTAAATTAAAAAAGCTAAAAATATTTCAAGAATACTATTTTAAGAGGTCCTTACTAGCGTCCGTCACAAAAAAATTTTATTAAATTATATTAACCGCTTTAAAAAGAAAAACCGATTTCCAGCGGCGTTTTTCAGGGACACATATCTCCGTAGGGAGGACCTGTACTAAAAATTTGTATAGGTACTTGTCATCTTATTTTTTCATGTTCTATCTTCACCTGAGAGATTTTCCACATTTTCCCGGACACCCTGTATAAGCTCTTTAAAATTTTTGGCTAAAAACTGTTTTGTCGAGGAAAAATTTGAGAAAATTCTGCTGTTCTTGGTCTCCCAGCGTATATTAGTATATTTTACCTTTACCTTATTTCAAACATCTTTCACGATTTTTGCATAAATATATTGTTCAAAAATTTGAACACCCTCTATATCAAAAACCAATGACTTTCAATTCATGTCGTTAAAGCTTTTGAGCCACGTCATTAACGCTTTTGAGCCATGTGATTAAAGCTTTTGACATGCAAACGCCCAATATGAAGTACCTATATTTTTCCATAACTACAAGTAACGCACTGTATTGTATTTATACCCAAGTTATGAGCTCATAATTCGTGGCTGCTAACAACTCATTTTGGGAAATTATGTTTTGTGGTAATTTTATAAATTTCAGTAGTGGTCGCGAAAAAGTGCACCTAATTTGCGAATTATAATAACTATTACACATTCAGTTATGTTACTCGTAAACTACCCAATCAAGTAATGGCTATCATAATTTGCTAGTTGGATAACATCGAGTGGCTACGAAAATATCGAAATTAATAAATCGCGACACACATTTGAATATAGAATTGTGAGTAGTTATAAAAATAAAATATAGATGCCTTTACTTCTGGTTATACCGGATTGGGTGGCAAAATATCTCAAATTATAAGCCTTAGTTACCCACCACATATACTTTCAAAATTCGGAACTGTATCTCTAATAGTAATCTAGATATTTCACCAATTAGACAGCATTATTCGGGGTCGGTAGAAGTTTAGCATCTGGTACTAATCGTAGTAACATATTCATTTCTGTAGAATTCGCATACTTATTTAATGTGTTTAAATTACTACTTAACGCCGCTTATTAATCATCGCTCTCCTTGATTCTACAGCCTTATATAAAATGACTCTCATCTGTATCAGTACGGGCTCCAAACTGTCTGAAATTTCTTTCTCCACCCTCTTTTGAAATTTAATTGTCATACTTTCCCAAAGACTAATGGGTGACCCATTAGCGAAGGGCGGCAAAAATAATAGACAACCTTATGAGATCCTGTAGACTGAGATTTGTTACTATTTTTGTCTTATAAAAGCCACTTATTTCAAAATTAAAAGTTATATGAATTATTATTAGAGATAAAATGGAAATAATAGAAAATAAAATAGAATGGCTAGAAAAGGAAAAAAGGAAAAATAATATTGTTTTGACAGGATTAAAAATGCAAACTGAAAACAGAGAAGCACTTAAGAAAGATATGGAAGAGTTTTTAGTGAAAGAAATTGAGGTTGAAACACAGATAGAAAACGTTCAAAAATTGGGACAGGAAACATATTTAATAGAATTCGAAAAATTTAAGGACAAAGATAAAGTAATGAAAAGTAAATATAAACTGAGGAATAAATGCAAGAGAATTTACATCAATGAAGATATGACCAAGAAAGAGCAGGAAAAAGAGAAGCAAATAAGAAAGAGGGCAATAGAAGAGAAGAAAAAAGGAAAGAACGTTAAAATTGGGTATAGTAAGATTATAATTGATGGAGAGGAGTTGAGATGGAATAAGGCGAGAGAAACACTAGAGTTAGTGAATCCAAAAAACTAGGAAAGGATACTGATCAGAATACTGACAAAACGGTAAATAAGTTGACGAACAGGCAAGGAAAAGGAAAGAACTCTGAAAAGGGACAAACAAAAGAAATATGGAAAATAGGAACGTGGAATATAAGGAGCATTAATGGAAAGGAAAATGAACTGATGCAAGAGTTTCAAAATGCAGGACTGGATATTTTAGCAGTGTCAGAAACAAAGAAAAAGAATAAAGGGGTGATGGAATTAGAAAATGGTCACTTGTTAATATATAGTGGAGTAGAAAATAATAAAAGGGCAGCAGCAGGTGTCGGATGCATAATTCATCAAAAATTAATACAAAGTGTGAGTAAATGGGAAGCACATACGGAGAGAATTTTATCAGTGGAGATAAAGAAAAGAGATGGAAAACAAATGACTGTGATATGTGTATATGGGCCAGATGAAGATGAAAAAGCAGAAATAAAAGACACATTCTGGGAGGAATTAACATTAGTCACTGAAGAAAGTAAAGGAATAGTATATGTATTAGGAGATTTTAACAGTAGAGTGGGTAAGAAAGATGGAAGATATAACACAGTAATAGGTCAATATGGTGAAAATAAAAGAAATAATAATGGAAAGAGAATGCTGGAGTATTGCCTATTAAATAACTTGATTATAACAAACACTTTTTATGAACACAAAGAGATACATAAATACACGCGAGTAGAAGCCAACAGAGGAGAAAAATCATTAATCGATTATGTGTTAACTGAGAAGAATAATAGAAAGCAGATTATGGATACGAGAGTTAAAAGAGGATCAGAAATAAATAGTGATCATTACTTGGTAGTAACTAATATTAAGAATGATAAGAACCCAAAATACGAAATAAACGAGAAAACCGATAAGATGAGACAACATGAAACAATAAAATCATACATGCTAACAAACCCAAAAGTGAGAGAAAAATATGAACAGCTGATAAACGCAGAAACAGAAAAAATATTGGCAGACAATGAAAATATTAGCGCGAATCAACTATGGAATATGTTTAAAGAAATAATATTGGAATGTGCCAAGAAGACATGTGGAACAAGTAAAATATTAAACAACAGGAAACAAACAGTGTGGTGGAATGAAGAAATAAAACAACAAGTTCAAAGTAAAAAGAGAAAATGGAAAGTTTACTTAACAAAGAAAACTGAAGAAAGCCTGGAAGAATATAAAAGGCAAAGAAATATTGTTAAAAGCACTATAGCTGCAGCTAAAGAGAAAGCATGGTCGGAATTCGGAACAAAAATGGAAGAAAATTATAAAAGTAATCAAAAATTATTTTATAAAGTACTAAAAACTATGAGAAAAGGGAAAAAGATAGAAAATAC